AAAAAAAAAAAAAAAAAATCGCTACTTAATTTTCAAAAGAAGCTCAAAGTGCAATAAGTATATTCTTTTTTTTTACTCAACATAATTTAAGTGTGCTGTGAAAGTTTGCCTGTAGGTTCAAGTACGTCATGAGATAAAAAGGTTGAAAAACATTGCTCTAAATCAGGGGTCCTCAAACTACAGCCTGTGGACCACATGTAGCCCACCAAGGACTTTTATCCAGCCCGCCAGGTGTTTTTGCCACTGCTGCCTGTCCTGCTTAGCAGCCAACTCATCCCAAGCCCGCAGTCCAGCCCTCCAACGGTCTGAGGGACAGTGAACTGGCCCCCTGTTTAAAAAGTTTGAGGACTCTTGCTCTAAATAGCAGACATTCTCACATGTCTGAGTGGTCCTGTTATGCCAACTAAAAACCCATGCAACAAGAACCTTTTCTTACAGAGCCAGAGATCAAGTTCAACTGAGCAAAAATAATAGCATAGTATAATGGCAGGTTCTTCCCTCTGAGCTTAGAGGAACAACTTACTGAAAGAGAAACAAAGAACCAAAGAGAAAACCTAGAAAGGCTTCCAGCATTCTAACTAGAACTATCTTTTTAGGAGTCAACTTTAAAACTAATAAGTAGCAGTGCTAAATTTATTAGCAGAGAGATTTGTTGAGAAGGAAACATATTAGCATGCCACTGTATCCCCTCTAGCTACTATGCAACATAAAGCAACAAATTTACCTATTTTATTCGGGTCATCTCCAGGTTTATTTTGAATAAGAAGATTTTTAGTAGGAAAAATCTGCAGTCCACTGACTCCACCAGCAAAGACCAGACCATACTTGTTGGACACAGCAAGCAGACTTGAGCGTTCCTTGGGCAGCTCCTCAGGGGAATCAAAGATTCTCACCTTCTTTAGTGCTCTAAACTGAAAATCCTATTATTGTAAGGAATCAAAACAAGACCAATTCAGGAAAAATAGGAAATTAACTCATGTCTATTGTTATAGTCCAGCAGACCCAATTTCAATGCAGCCAAAAATATGTGTTACACTGAGGCTGACAACTATCTCAATTGTCTTTAAATTCCTTATACTTGGCCAGGCGAGGTGACTCATGCCTATAATCCTAACACTTCAGAGGCTGAGGTGGGTGGATTGCCTGAGCTCATGAGTTGGAGACCAACCCAAGCCACAGCAAGACCCCATCTCTTAAAAACAGCCAGGTGTTGTGACAGGCACCTGTAGTCCCAGCTATTTGGGAGGCTGAGGCAAGAGAATTACTTAAGCCCAGAATTTGAGGTTGCTGTGAGTTGTGACACTATGGCACTCTACCGAGGGTGACAAACTGAAACTGTCTTAAAAAAAAAAATTCCTTATACTTATCACAGCGCCTATTGTAATGCTTAGTATTTGTTGAATGAAATAAATGGGGGGAAAATCTTCCATGAAGCCTTGACTAATCCAGCTTACACTGATCATTTCTTTTTCTGAATTCCTAGTATAATATTTATTATCTGAATTGCCACAAAACCGCACTTTATTGTTTATAATCTTGTCTTATTTCATAGTGTGTATTGTCTTATGACCCAGCATAAAACTTAAATTTCAAAAGTTGTTACAGCTTTTCTTTCTTTCTTTTTTTTTTTTTTTTGACAGAGCCTCAAGTTGTCTCCCTGGGTAGAGTGACATGGCATCATAGCTCACAGCAATCTTCAATTCCTAGGCTCAAGCAAGTCTCCTGCCTCAGCCTCCCAAGTAGCTGGGACCACAGGCGCCCGCCACAACGCCCCACTTGGTTGCAGCTGTCGTTGTTTGGCAGGCCTGGGCTGGATTAGAACCCACCACCTTAGGTGTATGTGGCTGGCGCCTTAGCCACTTGAGCCACAGGTGCCAAGCCTACAGCTTTTCTCAGTCTTTATTTTTGTACATTAGATTCTTATGATGTCTTTCTTACGGAATCCCTAATACACATGCATGGTAATTTTGTTGGATTTGTGGTTTAATACAAATTTTCTTTTCTTTTTTTTTGTTGAGACAGAGTTTCACTTTTTCGCCCTCAGTAGAATGCTGTAGCGTCATAGCTCACAGCAACCTCAAACTCTTAGGCTCAAGTGATTCTCTTGCCTCAGCCTTCCAAGTAGCTGGGACTACAGGCACCTGCCATAACGCCCAGGTGCACAACTCTCTATTTTTAGAAACAGGGTCTTTTTCTAGTTCAGGCTTGTCTTGAACCTGTGAGCTCAGGCAAAACACCGACCTCAGCCTCCCTGAGTGCTAGGATTATAGGCATGAGCCACGGCACCTGGCCCTAATACATATTTTTTAAAACATCAACTGAAATACTCTTGGTTCCTACCAGTTATAGCGAGTAAAAATTCACACAGCTTTCCATATGAAACTATACTACGGTTTCACATAGGAACACAATAAAAATTGCAGTCTTTTTTGTACTCTTCATCCTGACAATCCCAAAATCCCACGTGAGTCTTGGTCACATGGGTGGAGAGGGCCAGTGGGATGAAGACGCACAGAACAGCTCCCCTGTTACAGTCAATAACTCAAAGGGAGTACCATATTCTGCATCTGTAGTTCCTGTTTCTTATGCCCCAGCATATCTAAAGAATGACACACCCCCATCAGGTGGCTCACTACTGTCAGTGATTCTCAAAAAAGAAAAAAGAATCGCTATTTTAAATATGATATGGATTACTATCCCAAAAATGCATTTTAGAGATCTGTTGTTTACACAAATGCCTCAAATCTTCCTGTAACGTACTTCCTTTTAGCTTTTTAAAATAAATGTAGTTCATTCTCTGTACCCTCATACTGTTAGAACACATGTACGAACTATTAAGCACACCATTCTGTGAGTTATCTCCAGGGCGCCCCCACATTACCATCATTTGGGCCGTTTGACCCTTTTTTAGGTTCCTGACTTTACAGGGTGATACCGGTGCCAAAATAGTCTTCTTACTCCAATTAACTAAAGGTTTTATAGGATGGATGATCTTCTCTGGCCTTACCTTAGGCAAGACTGAACTATCTGACAAAAGTAGTACAAGGAAAGTAAAGAACAGAGGATTTGAACTGAGCTGGCTTTCAAGGCCCCTTGTCAATGTGACTTAGGTAAATTACTTTCTAGGCCTCGATTTGCTTCTTTACATTAACGTCTACTTCTCGGGGTTGCGTGATGACTACCACAGTGCCTGACAAGAAGTAAAGCTCAATAAACAGCAGTTTTACTGAAGCTCCAGCCCCCACATGAAAGCCCCTAGCTTTAACTGAGGAGGCGTGCTCAAGACCTTGAAAGGACAGGGAAATTGAATTCACTAGGTCTGTCATGCTGGCTGCGCGACAGAGTGCTCCAGGGCGCACTGGTGAGAACTCTCAACGCGGTAAACTGTTTAAACAGGAGGCGGGGCAGCTGGCACAGCGCTTCACCCTTCAAAGGGAACATCAGAACTAAGGAAGGGAGGCAGGTCCCTAGAAGTCTCTGACCTTCATCTCACGCTCGGGGATCATGGCATCCATCTCGTCTCCCATCGCGCCTCCAACGGTTTGTCTTAGACACCGCTGCCACCGCCTGCGGCCTTGCACACAGAGCCCAGGCAGTTCAGAAGTCAACTTCCTTCCCTCAGCGCCAGCGGCGCGCGTGGGTCGCGCATTTCCGGCGCGCGATGGGTGCCGGCGCGCTTTGGTGACGTCAAGCTCACCTCCGCAGCGCCGTCCTGGGACTCCGCCGGAGCCTTTGAAGTCGCGCGCTCTCCAGCCGCCGCTCCCCATTAGCCAGCTCAGGGTGTAAGGGCGTGGCTGTAGAGTCGGCGCTCTTGCGCCCTGGATATTCCTAGCTCCGCCCCACGTTTGCATCTGGAGCTGGCTTGCTGGGCTTGCCTTTCGTTCTTGGGAGGCGATAGCTAAAATGCTTCGCGCTTTTGGTTGGCGTGAAGCCTCACAGTAACTCTTAGAGGTAGGTGGCTACTAGTAGCTTCCGATTTGGATAAGTTAGAAACTTGACAAACGTTTCCAGCAGCAGCTTTTGAGAGAGCGGTCCGGCAGGGGCGGGGCTCGCCACGGAAGACCCTTCAGTGTCTAAGGACCAAGGCTGGAAAGGAAGGTTATGGGGCTCCAGAGAACGGCTTTGTTAGGTCCTTTCAAGGTAATCATTTCCAGAGCGAGAGCCTTACCCTTCTCTGGTCACAAAAAAATTTGTGCCAGGTTCTGCGCAAAACCCTTTAGATGTGTGATACTCTGTAATCTTCAAGACGTTCAGGTCACCGGAGGTTTCCCACTAACATTTAATTCATACGGCAAAGGAAGCGGAGAAGTTGAGAAGATTCTCCACTGGCCCACAGGCAGAAAGTAGTAGAAGCAGGATTAGAATTCAGGTTGTCTGGATAATGCTGACTGATGATATTACACAGTCCCACGGAGAAGACATTTCTGTAGTGGATGATGTCATCAAGGTTCTAGGACAAAAGTTCTTACCCTGGGTTGGCTCCAGGAGGGCAGATTCTATTTAATGTTTGGTAAGCCAAGCCGGCTTCTCAGCCGTGAAACGGCTCAGCATAATTGAACCCCTCTTGTGGGGTTGCTGCGAGTCGATGAAGTTCTGCTGCTTCAGACCCAATACACGGGACTCACTCGTTCCAGTTAAAACATTAACTAGCACATCTCTTATCTGCTCAGCCCAGAGCAATCCTCAAAATACACCACAAAAGACACTGGTAAGTTTACTCAGTTTATTTCTGTACAGATGATATCCCACCCCCTACACACACACGTGCACACACACAAACATACCTCATACACCTGAATTTGCACAGCGCTTTTGAGTGAGGAACAGAGCCATACTTGGCAGGCCCACCTTACTGGTTACATTAGATTTGGTCTCTCAGAAACAAGACAGTTGAAGTCCCAAGAAGTTAACTCCCTAACCAGGGAAGTAAGAGTCATAAGCCAAAAGCAATAACCTGAAATACATGCAGATGTCCCTCTCCCTCCAGGAGTTCCAAGAAACAGTAAAGGGACTGGTGGGAGTTCCCAGGACACCACCCCAATCTGTGACAGAATCCTCTTTCCTGCCTTCCCAGAGCCTGGAGACACACCCCCTTGCTCTCCTCCCAGGAGGCTTAGGCTTTCTGCAGCCTTGTAAACTGTGAAAACCACTAAAATAAACCTGCTTGGGTATGCCTTCCTCTCTTAGTAAAAAACAGGGACATTGGTGGCACCTGTAGCTCAGAGGCTAGAGCACCAGCTACATACACCTGGCCTGGTGTCTGCCAAACAATGACAAATACAGCAACAAAAAAAAAAAATAGCTGGGTGTTGGGGCAGGCGCCTGTAGTCCCAGCTACTTAGGAGGCTGAGGCAAGAGAATCGCTTAAACCCAAGAGTATGAACTTGCTGTGAGCTGACACCACAGCCTCTACTGAGGGCAACATAGTGAGATTGTGTCTCAAAAAATGAACAGGGACATTGAATCTAAGTCATCAAGAAAGGCTTTAGCTTCCTCAGAGGTCCCAGCCTGTCCCAAAGAGGGGACACAGTGGGAAGGGGTGGCGACAGGCAGCTGCTAATCTATTGATCTCAGGAGAAAAAAAGGGTTGGGAGTAGGATTTTACATTTATAGGGAGGAATGTTATGCTGAGGTTTAAACTTCAACTAGGCCTGTGCATTTGAAGCAGATCCTTAAGCTGAAGATCAGCCAGTCATAGCCAAATAATCTTGCTCCTGAACTGGTTGAAACCAGTGGATTAACCCAACCTGGCCATTTCCTCAGCCCCACCTGCTTTTCTCCCTCAAGCTGGTGTAGAGGCAGCACCTCCATCCTAGAACCCTGAGAAGCCACAGGGAACCCACACTGGTGCAAACTGCCCCCAGTCCTTTCCACTTAAGGTTTTGCAAAAGTTCCTCCAAGACTCTTACCCTGTCTGGGGCCCAGCTATGCTCCCCAAGATAGTAGGGATGTGGCAGTCACCCCACACCCTTCCCCTTCCCTAACATTCACCTTGTCATTGTCTGGCTCTGACTTTCCTTCTAGAATCTAAATTCCATGAGTCCATTTCACTTTTGGTTCTTAACTCTTGGACCATGGCAGGTGCTTAACAAGTATGTTCAGTGAGTAAGTGTATCTAAGTCCTGAGAAGGCAGGGTAAGAGACTCTAGAACACAAGTGGGGGCCAGGCTGAACTCCCTGTTCAACAAAGATGGGGCCATCTTCCTGCATGTGTTCTGAGAGGCAGCTGAGGCTCCACCATGAAGCCGTAGGAGAGGCACAACTGTAGGAGGCAACCTAGCCTTCACCCAGACCCTTCAGAGTGAGGGAAGCCTTGCTCAGGCTTCTTCCCACCCACCCATTTTCGTTCCTGACCAGGCAACTCAGATGAGGTGTGCGCAGGGCACTTGAACACCTGGGCTTCAGTCCAGACTCTTCCTTGGGCATGGCATTTAATCCCTGCGGGTTACTGCAGTTTCCTCACCTGTCAAGTGAGAGGATTGGCCCAGCTAACCTACAGGGGTGATCAGCACTCTAAAATCTTGCGAGTCCATAAGAAAGGACATGGGTGACCCCAATCCAATTTCCAAGCTCAAGGTTTTGAGCAATTTGGGAAGAGAGACAGTAGACACAGCACATATCTGGACAGTGTGGGGGACTTGAAGCTTATGATAGGTGGTCAATAAATATCTGTTCAATGAATGAGTGAATGAATAAGTGGATGAATGCTGGGAGGAGGGTAGGAAAGCAAATGAGGGAAGTGACGTCAAGCCGACTGAGATGAGAAGAGCAACCTCTTTCTCAGCTCTTGGCTGAACAGTGGTGCTGACTTTGAGCAGGTATGTTTTACTCCTCATTCTCCCGTCCTGGTGCCAGGACGGCACTGAGTTGAACCTTCCCCCAAGGCCCCTGCCTCATCTCTATCTCCAAAGCCCTTTGCTGCCCCAGCAAGGGACTATAGGGCTGCACCTTTCTTCCCTCTGAGCTGCCCATAAAAGTGAGGAAAGGAAGCAAGACCAAAGGGTTCCTTCTGGTACCTTCTTGAAAGGCTCAAATTGCCAAGCTTTTTTCCTTCCCACTTTCGGTCACAGTGCTGAGGATGAGAAAAGACGTGGCCTGGGGGCTACCAGCCACGGCACTGGGCGCTGAGTGGCCACACCCTGGACAAACCCAGAGTGCTGGAACCATGGGTCTGAGGAGACCCTAACAAGGCCCTGCAGTCTTTCCCTATCCCAGGGTCTTCTGAAAGTGGGCTGGGGTCCTCACCAGGGCCAAAGTCTGAACTTAGCTCAGGGACCTTCTGGAAGGATAGATAAGTGTGGGGAAAATAGGCTTCCAGCCTCCCTGCCCTGGCCCTGCCCCCTCCAAGTTTTTGGTTTGAGATCAGCCCCTCTGCACAGGGAGGCAAGAAAGAGGGAAGAGGGAGGGGACCCAGGGCTCAGGGTTCTCCAGCCCAGAGCCCCTTTAAGGCAGATATATGTGCTTTACAAGGATATTGCTGAAAATTCAAACACACAGACACCAAACAAACAAGACAGATCACAGTGAGTCAAGAGTCGCAGGGAGGAGCAGGGGTGGGAAGGCGGGGTGGGGTCCAGACAGGGTCCTCAGGGCAGGCTAGCAATGTCTCTCTCTGGAGGGGGGCCAACTGGCTTGGGGCTGCTCTCGTTGGCTTTTCCTTCAAACATCATGACTCTGGTTTGGAGATAGAAGAAAAAAGAAAACAGGATTAGGACTCCCCTCATCCAGGGCAAGATCACCCCCAGCCTTTATGTCCAGCAAGGTCCTCAAATCTGTTCTGCACAAGATATCAGTCTTGGGAAAGGGCCTGCTAGTCCCATTTTACAGAGGAGAAACTGAGGCTTATAGTGGCAGTGACTCCTCAGAACCACACAGGCCGTCCAAGGCAAAGGCGGACCAAGACTCCAGGCCTCTGACTCTGAGGCCGTGCCTTTCCCTAACCATGCTGCCTAGAGGAGGCTGAGTGAGGCTGGGCCATGGCTCTGCTCAGGGCTCCTTCAGACCTCCTTCCCACGCTGAGAAGAGAGCCTGAGGAGCAGAGGGCAGGGGCTGAGAGAATAACCTCTGGGAGGAACAGCCTGGGTTCGAACGCCTGCTCTGCTATTGCCCAGCTGGCTGACTCAAGCAAGACACTCAACCTCTCTGACTCTCAGCATTTCCATCTGCAACTGGGGACACTAAAACCTCTGGCCAGAGTGAACCCTGAGCTTGTGACCTGGTTACTCAGTTTCCATGGGCTTGAACAAACTCCTTCATAAAATGAGACGGGTATATTTCACCTTAGTACTTTTGAGTGGGGAAGCACCAGACACTGGGCTGGAATCCTTAGGCATGTCATCTCATTAAGCCTCAGGACAACACTTCACAGAAGACGTGTGTGAGCATCCCTATTTCACAGATGAGAAACTGAGGCTTGCAGACGAAAGGGAGCTTGCCCAGGTTCATTTCAGTAGCAAGTAACAACATCAAGATTGAAATTTTGCTTCCCTTTAGAACCAATTTTGACTCCATTTTCTGCTCACAACAACCTATGGGGGTGATGGAGAAACCTGAGGCTCAGGAAGTTTTGACAGCTTTATCACCATCATCATCTTCAGAGTTACTACCTAGCACTGATTCTGCCAGATGCTCTGTTACAGGCTAATTTCCCCTACAAGTATGTCTTATGATTAATAACACGACCATTTGACAGATAAAGTTTGGGAAAATTAAGTACCTTGCCCAGCAGGTCACATACATTACCTGGCTGGGGAAGGGCTCAGGTCCCCTCTGCACAGAATAACTTTGCCTTCAGAGGCCCCAGGAGAGGTGAGGAGATACTCACAGCTTGAGGACGGCCGACCGTTTCCCCAGCATCATATTCACAAAGTCTCGGTAGGAAATGGTGTCGCTGACCCCACCTGTCACCTCTGAAATCATTTTCTTCATCTCTAGGTGGGTCTTGGGGACACCAAGCTTCTCCATCATCCTCTTTAAAGACATCAGGTCTGCCAGATGGAAAGCAGATCTGTTAGGTGGAGACAGGCTGCCCGAGCAGGGACCATTCCACTCTGGCATCCTATGCTGCAGGCTTGGCGGGAGATCCCCTCCCTGGAGTCCGCACCACTCCATAAGCCATCATGCCTGAGCTCATAAGAACATAGAGACTAGTGGTTACAGACTGGGTTATGGAGTCAGACAGACCTGCATTGGAACTGAGTTTTGCTACTCTTACTGTGGGACCTGGGGCAAACTCAGTTGGGTGCAGTAGCTCACACCTGTAATCCTAGCACTCTGGGAGGCCAAGGCAGGTGGATTGTTTGAGCTCAGGAATTTGAGACCAGTTACTTAGGAGGCTGAGGCAAGAAGATCACTTGAGCCCAAGAGTTTAAGGTTGCTGTAAGCTATGATGCCACAGCACTCTACCAAGGGCAACAGATTGAGACTGTCTCAAAAAAACAAAAACAAAACAAACAAAAATAGCCCCTTTCCCCTGCTCCCACCAGTGATGGAACAGGTTGAGGGGATTCTTTCCAGGGACAACATGTGATCCCCACACAGCAGGCACTCAGCAAGGCAGCTTGTTCTTCACAGTTATTGTTATCTTACTGTTGTCAGCAGTTAGGAGGAGCTGTGTGCCCTCAGGCATCACTGCCCAGCAAGCTGGGGTCAGGGAGTTGGTCTGACCCCAGGCATTGAAAGTCACTCTCTTGGGTGCTGGGTGGCAAGCAGCCCCTCCCCACCCCACCCCCATCTGTCCTAGGGCTTTGCCTCAGCTGGAAGGGAAAGCATGCCAGAAATATCCTGTGGGGCAGGAAAACCAACAAAAGAACAAAATTCAAGAAAAACAAGGGAGGCACCAAAAAGTTAATACACCCCCAAGGGGTTGCTGCCTTAAACCTCCCAGCTACTGCCAAGATCTGAGGCAACTTCCTTCAGATTATTCTTGAGTGAACAATGGGTGAGCAGATGGTGGGAGCAGGGTGGGGTCTGCAGGGATGTGGGCAGTGTTGTGGCCAGCACTCCCCCAAGAGGCAAGGCAGGCAGGACTGGGGCCAGGCCTGAAGGTGCCAGGATGTCCAGGCATTTAAGAGAGAGCAGGGCAGGCTTTTCCAGGAAAGGGCAAGAGGGTACCACACATGGCCATCAGACGCTAAGTTGGCAAAACCTTTCTGAGGCAGTTTGGCAAGGTGCTTCAAAACCCTTTGACCGACAATATCTCATTCCTCAGCCTTAACTCTAACGAAATAACCAGCCAGCTAGGTACAATGGCTTATGCCTGTAATCCTAGCACTTTGGGAGGCCAAGGTGGAAGGATCACTTGAGCGCAGGAGTTTGAGGTTGCTGTGAGCTATGATGATGTACAGCACTCTAGCCTTGGTGACAGATTCTGTCTTGAAAAATTTAAAAAATAAAAAGTATAAACCAAAATGGTTATAGCACTTATTTCTGGGAGGTGGGATTATGTGTGACATATTTCTGTTTTGTCTTTGTGCTTTGCTGTGTCTCCCAACATTTTTTATGATGAAATGTATTAATTTGGGGCGGTGCCTGTGGCTCAAAGGAGTAAGGCACTGGCCCCATATGCCGGAGGTGGTGGGTTCAAACCCAGCCCTGGCCAAAAACTGCAAAAAAAAAAAAAAGTATTAATTTGATAAACCAAAAAATCTTTTTGCTAAAGAAAAAGTAATCAGCTGGGCGTGGTGGCTCACACCTATAATCCTAAGCACTCTGGGAGGCTGAGGCGGGTAGATTGCCTGAGCTCACAGGTTTGCGACTAGCCTGAGCCAGAGTGAGACCTCACCTCTAAAAACAGCTAGACATTGTGGCAGGTGCCTGTAGTCCTAGCTACTTGGAGGCTGAGGTAAGAGAATTGCTTGAGCCCAAGAGTTTGAGGTTGCTGTGAGTTAATGGTGCAATGGCAATCTACTGAGGGCGACCTCTGTTTCAAAAAAAAAAAAAAAAGAAAAGAAAAGAAAAAGTGATCAAAATGTTCAAAAGGGTCAGCTTATTACCCATAGCACAGTGGTTATGGTGCCAGCCACATACACTGAGGCTGGCAGGTTCAAACCCATCCTGGGCCAGCTAAAAACGACAATTACAACAAAAAATAGCTGGGCTTTGAGGTGGGTGCCAGTAATCCCAACTACTTTGGAGGATGAGGGAAGAGAATGACCTAAGTCTAAGAGTTTGAGCTTGCTGTGAGCTGTGATGCCACAGCACTCTACCAAGGGCAACATAGTGAGACTGTCTCAAAAAAAAAAAAATTTCAAAAGAAGAGAGAGGATAGAGGAGACAGAAGTAGAAATGCTAGTGGGAGCGACAACACCAGAGCTATACGGTAAAGCAGAGGAGGAGAACGCTTTCAGAAACAGGTGGGCCCGGCCTGCCACATAACGACCAGCTGCTCAAGCAAGTCAGTTCATCTTTCTGAGTCTTGGTTTCCTCATCTGTAAAATGGGGATCATCAAACTGGCCTTGACTAGGTCATAGCTGGTAAGACTGAGCAATGGCCTACCAGAACGTAAGTGCCACAGACAGGGTGTCTGTCACTCCCAGTGCCTGGACAGCAGGACACGATTAAAAGTCCTTTGCAGGAGGAATCAACATATGTGAAAGCACTTTGTCAACTGCAGAAACCACATCATGGAAAGATAGGCTTGGGGACCAAGGAAACACCAGCCCCTGTGCAGGGTGTCAACTGCCTAAGCAGCCGGAGTGTCTCTAGCACTGGGCAGGGCATGGCACCCTCTACACTGAGTCCCTGTAGCACCTGGGCAGGAGGCTGAGAGGTGGGCAGGGAGCCAGGGCAGGGGCAGAGGCAGAGGGGGAAAGCTGTAGTATGTGTTTATCACTCTTAACGGACCACCCCACGTGCTCCACCCACGCAGGTGGGTCAGTGGGGCTCTCTGGACCCTCAAATCTTCTACCCACTGAATACCCTCTTCCCCACACGCAAGGCCTCACTCACCAATCTCGCCTTCATTGTTCAGGTCAAACTCCATGTACTTTTCTGGAAATTATAGGCAAAAACCGGCATTAGCTTACAACCATAGCTAAGGGACCCAATGACTTGCTTGAGGGCAAATGACCAGGTCCTCAGGACCCCACACCACCAGCCTCATCCGCCAGGAGTTCTTGACCCAAGGCCCTCGTCATCTCAGCCACAATCTCTGGAGAAAGAGCTCATCTTGCCTGGACTATTTCTCCTGCAGGAGCCATGAGGGAAAGTGGGCTGGGAGCCAATCTGCCTCTCGGGAGGAGGGCAGCTGCTTCCTCCCAGGTCCCCACCAGTGCCAGCCAGCTGCATCTGAACTGGCTGCACACTGGCTAGATCTGATTCCTGGGCCCGGAGATCCAAATCCAGTGGGTGTGGGGAGAGTAGGGTGGCAGCAAGAATGGAGTGTTTTCAGAGTCTCCTAGGTAATTATAGTGGGAGCCAGGAGTCCCTACAGTTCTGAAGCCAGGACAAATGCCTGTGGGCCTGCCCTGGCCACAGACCCTCACCCCAAACCTCATGTACAGACTGAGTTAAAGGAATTAAGGAATCCAGGAAAACCTCCAACAGGGAGGGAGGGTCCTCAGAGCAATAAGCTTGTAATCTCCTGACAAGGGCGGTAGGTCAAGTGAAGCGTGTGGCCTTGGCAGGGCAGCCCTTCATCAGCAGAGCAGCCAGTGTGAGCAAGCTGAGGTCCCTGGGTAGCCTTGTTTCTCCTGTCCACTCCCACCTGCTCCACCTCACTGCCCCTCTGCCTGGAATGTTCCCCTGGTATTCTCAAGACTCCTCCCTCATGCCTTAGGTGTACCCTCCCACCCACTGAGCACCCTGTCCTCCCTCCAGGGTCCATTTCTTACCAAAGCACCTACCACAACCCTTGATCTTTGTATTTCCCTGCTCTCTGTTTACACCCCTGTGCAGGGACTTATGTGTTGACCCTGGTGCTCCCAGGTGGGGAACAGGCTGGCCTACAAGTGCTCACCTGGAGAGCAAATGAGTGAGTGATTTGAGGCCCTTCCCAGCATAACTCCTTGTGGTTCCAATCTGGCCCGACAGACCCAATCCTACATCCCAGGTAACACAATCAGAGTGGATGTTAGAGCCTCAAGATCCTGTCCCTCCTCCCAGAGTCACCAGTGAAAGTGCTCACTGGATGCAGAGAGAAAGGAATAAACAGATGGATGTCCTGTCGCTGCTGGGACAGAGTAGGGACACAGCTGTGTTTTTTCTATTTCTCCTCTTTTTTTTTTTGAGACAGACTCTCACTATGTTGCCCTCCATAGAGTGCTGCGGCATCACAGCTCACAGTAACCTCAAACTCTTGGGCTTAAGCGATTCTCTTGCCTCAGCCTCCAAAGTAGCTGGGACTACAGGTGCCTGCCACAAAGCCCGGCTATTTTTTGTTATAGTTGTCATTGTTGTTTAGCTGGCCTGGGCTAGGTTTGAACCCGCCAGCCTCTGTGTATGTGGCTGGCACCCTACCCACTGAGCTACAGGTGCCGCCTCTCTTCTTTTTTCTTAATGTAAAAAGCATCATAACATAATGGTTAAGAGCAGGGGCTTTGGAGCCAGACTAACATGGGGATAAGTCCCAGCTCTGTCCCAGGTGAGCTGTGTGTCCCCTTCCAATGATCTCCCCCAGTGGAGCCTGAGTTTCTTCATCTATACAGTACTAAGCAACACTATTAACCTCCTGGTGAGCTGGGTGACTCAGGAGCTCCCTGTGCTGTGAGAAGTGCCCATGAAATGCCAGCTGCTATTAATATCACTGGCTATCCATGTCCTGCCCAGGGACTAGGCTTTAAGCAGTTTTAGGAGCAGTTGGCAGATTCTTGGCCTTGCAGCAGAGAGGATGCCCACATTACAGTCTAGGGAGGGAGACATCACTCCAGGCCATTCACCATCTGTCCTCCAGGGAGTCCAGGGCTCCCTTGCCTGAGTGCAGCCCGGCAGGAAAGGTGGGTCTGCCGTGCTCCTTATGGGCACAGCTCCTCTCCTTTTGAGGTACTGGCTGGGACCCAAGAGCCAGGGTCTTGAACAGAGAAACCTTTATGCTGCCCCTCTCCCTGCACAGGCTTCTAGGCCCTGTTTTCTTTTCATCCATGCTGTTGGGACTCAATGGGCAGAAACTCTGCCCCCCACCCCTCTGTGGCAACACAAACGTCCATTCTCCACAGGGGCTCCCGACACTGGCTGCAGAGGGGGAGAGGCAAGGGCTGTTCACAAAGAGCTGATTGTGTGCAGGGGCCCAGAGCAAGCAGCTGAGCAGCGGACAGGAGCCAGCCTCAGCCCTGCAGCAGCCGTGAAGAGAGCACAGGGCAGGGCTAGGCCTGTGGGCCAGAGGCGAGGGGGTCTGTGATGGCAGAGAAGCAGGTGGAGGGGCCATCTCCACGCCTGCCAGGAAGAGGGGCATTCTGGATGGAATGGGGCCACAGCCTAGCTCTGCCTGCAAGGGGGCAAGGGCTAGCCCAGCTCCCTTGAAGGCTGCACCATCAGCCCTTGCTTACCTTTGAAGGCTGCAAGCTTTTCTGGCAGGTTCTCTTCATCACTGTACTTCTGGTCACAGAGAAACTCCTACAGGGGCAAGAGGACAGTGCTGAACGAGGGGTCAGGGGTCAGAGGTAACCCACACGTGGGCCCATTGTCCAGGCGCCTCCTCTCCTGCTGGGTGGCCAGGCTTGACCAGGCAGGGTTTGTCCTGTGTTTGTTCTGGCTTCCCATTGGCCCTGAGGCAGATCTGCACAGTTCACCCTGTGGGCAAGAAGCCAGCTGAGCAGCTTGAGGGCCTGCAGGTCTGCTCTAGCTCAACCAGCAACTGAGCTACCAGTGCTGGGAACTGGGACCCAGGGCACCTGGCTCTGGGATCCCTGCTGCTGTGAGCTCCAAAGACAAGCTACCCGGTTCCATCATTAATTAATTCCTCTGTACCTCTATTGTCTTATCCAGCAAATGTGGGGGGTATCACAGCTGTTTCTTGAGTTCTATAAGGATCTGATAAGAGTATGTAAACAACTCTTGGCATATTGAAAGTACTCGATAAATAGCAGCTATCATATTATTAGTCTCTGCTCTAGACAGAAAATGACTGTGCCTGGGAATGACACTCTCTCACCTGTTTCCTTATGGTTTTAATCCCTGCCCCATCTTCCCCTTGGATGCTTGCAGATTTGGCTGGTCTTTTCAGAACCATCTCGGTGGGGTAGAATTAATCCTGGGTGAAGCAGTTACCTATATGATCTCTTTGGATCTCCTAATAGCTATGAGAGGTAGCTATGGTAATTATCCCCATTTTACAGATGAGGAAAGTGAGGCTCACAAGCCAGAACTTCATCTCAGCTCCATCTCATTTACAGCCTGCATGCTTAGTCCTGACACTTAACATAAGGGCATATCACAGGTGCTGGCCTGGTCTCTGAAAACAAAAAGCTACAAATGAGTGACCACCTACTACGCTGGGCACAGTGCCAGGATCCTACATGTCTGGTGGCTAATCTTCCAGCAGCCCTAGAACCTGTATTCAGAGGGGGGTGTAGAGGGCACAGTCCCATCCTACCACTCAGACCCTGAAAATCCCCCCCTCTTTCCTGGACATCCCTTTCTTCATTCCTGAGCTGTCTGGACAAGGCATTGCGGCTCCATTTGTGTATTCACGCAGCATTTTTTCAGAGACACAATGTACAAGGGACCGGGTCTCAACGGAGCAGGAGAGACCAAGTGAAAAAGGTTCCGGCTCGGCGCCTGTGGTTCAAGTGGCTAAGGCGCCAGC